CCAGGCAGTTTTGACTACTGTGGCTGTATAGTAGGTTTTGAGATCCGGCAATGTGAGACCTCCTACTTTGTTTTTCTTCTTCAGTAGAGGGGCACTTTTTTATTTTGCAAACTTTCAGAAATAAAATTTGGATTTTTGTTGTTGTTGATTACAATAAAATACAGGCTCACTGGAAAAATAGATAAGCAAAAGAAAATAAAATGTATCCAAACCTTCCCCTATCTCTACCCCCGTGCCTCCCTTGTATTCAGAAAGCACAGCCGACACCTTGATGGCATTCAAATTCAGGTCCTTTCTTTGCACATGCAGGGTCTCTACAAGTCGAGATAGCCTCCATGGCAATGGGTTTGACTTTTGGTTTGGTAACCTGTAGACCCAGCGAGGAGATGCTTCGCGTTAGGGCTCGCACCACGTTGTTTCTCTGGCGGGGAAGGCGTTGCATCATGCTCTCATTGGGCTTCGGTTTCATCACACAGATCTGACCTATGACCTGTGTATGCCCTTGGCTCCCTAAGCTTCTCGAGAGTAATCTTATTCGTCCTTAGGGACTACATCGCCAGGCATACAATAGGTGCTCAAAACAAATGTTTCTAACCCCATTGCCACTCGCCTCAGCCGCCGCTGCCCCACAGCAAAAAGAAAGCTGAAAGTGACCCAGGAGAGGAAGCGCCTCGCTGTCTCCAAGGCAACCGAAATCAGCAGCTGGGAGTGCCCACGCATGCGCACACTTGCCCTTCCTTCCCGTAACCTCAAGAAAAATGCAACCGGTAAAAAGACTGCCAAAAGCTGAGGGCGCATGTGTGGTTACACCAATCACTTCGGCCGCCTCCGCTTTCTGTCAATCCGTCCTCCCAGCAATCTCTATAAACACGGTCCGGAAATAGTACCCATTTCTGGAAAGGATACATAGTTAACCAATTGTCGTTAGAGGGGCGGGATGACGGGGAAGGGCCTTGACTTGTATCGAGGCTATCTCATTGGTTATCTTTGAAAGTAGGTGGGGCCAAGGGTCGAGAGGAGGCCAGAGAAAGCAGGCGCGAAGAGACGCAAAGTTGCAGCCTCCGGGGGAGGCGTGGTCCCGCGGGCGGCCGGGAAGGCGGTGATGGGGCGGGGCCCGCGGCTGGGGCCGGGCGTCCGTGGGGCGGGGCGACCGTGGGCTGGGTGCTCAGCGGTCGGTGATCGGCGGCGGGAGATCGTGGGAGAAGGGAGCACGACACTCGCTGGCTGGGGAGATCGGCGCTCGGCCGGTAGGTGACGGGGCGGGATCCTGGGGCCCGGCTTGAGGCGCTGAGGGAGCGGCGGGGACTGGTCGCCCCTCAGTCCCTAGTCTGGCCATGGCCTGGCCCGTCGCCGCCCGGAGATGATGGAGGTCGGCCGACCGGCCCCGCGTAGTCCGGCACTCCCAGTCGGACCCACCCGCGCGTGGGCTCTTGGCACTCAAGGCCGACCGCCGGCGCGCCCTCACACGCGTTTGCCCGGCCCAAAGTCGCACACCGTGCTCGCCCCAGGCCTCCAGACCGCGCACTCGCACAGGCCCCACGCTGGCTCCAGTCGCGCGCAGGGGCGCCCTGCTTCCCCTTCTCCAACACCCCTCTGCCACAGCGCTTAGATGCCTCCGCTGCCAGGCCGCGCCTCCCTCTCGCTCTGCACCCTGGGTGTCCCCAGGATTGGGGCTTGCCTCGGCACGGGGCGCAAGGTGTCGTATGCAGAAGTGCGCCTGGCCCGTGCGCCTTCCCACCTGCCCTGGCCAGTGAAACTCTCCTGCTGGTCCCCAGGAAGTTCGCGGGTCACACCCCGAGGCGGGGAGAAGTAGCAGGGCCTGCCCTTGGCACCTAGCGCGGCAGTGCTGGCCACTGGAGCATCCTCCCTCCTTCCTTTGGCTCCAGACCTGCTTGAAATTCCTCTGTCCTCTCCACTCAGGACATTCTTATCTGCTGGCTCAGTTATAATATTCCCGTCTTGGAAGCCCATCATGATCCTGGCAAGTTGCAGCCACAGGGCACCAGGCAGAAAGAGGGCACTTGTACAGTGCAGAAATTTCCACCTGCCCAGTAGTCTCCATGCTCCATAACTTCAGAAAAGTGTTTCCTTCTGAGTTGAGTTGAACATGTTGCTCTCGGCTCTCAGAAAGGACAAAAAGTACAGAAATCAGCAGTGAGAATGGAAAAATTATTTTTAACTGGAGATAAAGAACACTAGTGACTTGATTAATGAAATTAGACAATGAGATGGGACCATGACACAGATTAGCAGTCTGAAGTTTATTCCAGGAAGATGGTTGAAAACCCCTTGACTAGAAACATGGTCTTTCTGAAACATTAGAGGGAGATTAGTATCTTAACATTCGTGATGTGTTTTTCACTTTACTAAGTATCTTCATACCTGTAACCTCTTTCTTCCTTCAGACAGCTTTGTGGTAAGATAGGTTCTGTTGTCCTGTTTTATAGGTGAGACACCTGAGAGAGGTGGTGGTGGGGATTACATTTATTGCCTGATTCCTTTGACATAGGACTGGGTTTCTGGAGTCTTCTCCTCACTCCTGTCCCTAGACCCACATTGTGGGACTTAGATAGAGGAAGGAGGGAGCAGTGTTTGGTGTGGTATTTGACATTAAACAATGAGATGGGTGTTTCAAAGGTGCTTGTCTTTCTTAGGATGTGTTTGGATTTACTCTTGGTGTTATCTAAGTGATGGTCAAAGTCAGTACCTTTGGTTCAGTGATACTAGACTTCTAAGTTTATCACACATCTTTAGGACATCCTCATTTATTTGGAAGGGTGTGGTGAACTTCTCAGAAAGTCTCAAAGTAAAAGTCATAATCTCTGATTTTAATTTTGGAAATAAGCACCCAAGTATATATATGTTTCAGCACTTTTGTGAAATCAGACAGCAGTAAGCTGCAAGCTTTGGGTCAACTGTTTTCAGTTGATAAGGAGGAGTTCTGAAGGGGTTTTTTGCCCCTGGTATTGTCTGTTAGAGTTTGTGAGAGTGACACCACAGAGACCCTGCCAGATGAGCCTTCATCTATTAAACAAAAATGTCTGGCTGGGCCGTTTCGCCTGAGCAGATGGAGATTTGGTTCCTCATTTTGATTCTCCTGTTGAACACTGACTCCTTTGTGATCTGCTTGGAGTGTTTGTGTATCATTTAATGCTGAGAAGTGGGCTTGCCCTGATTGGTTGTTCAACCCTCGGCAACTGTTACGATTTTTTAGGTGAGTGATACCAGTTCATCCCTGGCCAGAGTCTGGTGAGAGAGGTGTAGAAATGTACGGGAGGTAAAGTTTCATCCAGGGCTGTTTTCTTCCTTGTTGGCAGCCCCTTAAGAGTGTTCTATCAGTTTAGCCTGTGAAGTCACTTTGAATTTCCTATATTTTTCCTGTTTCAATGGACACCACATGGGCTTTCCTAACAGGCCTACCCACCTTGATGAAGAGCTGAAAGATTCACATTGGTTTGCTAGACAAATGTTCCTTCTGGGGGGAAATATTCAAAACTCTTAAAATCTAATTCATTACTAAATAAAAAGTATAAGCTTCACATGCAGTCAGGCAGCATATTTCTACCAGGCTTCCATCATCTCAGAGCTCTTTTCTTTTTTTTTTTTTTCCTGGCAAAAGGTTAAAATGCAACTAAAATTCTGCTTTCATGATTAATAAGTCACTACCGCAGTTGTGTCTGATGCTTCCTGTTTGCCCCATTTTAGTGTTTCAGTTAAACTGGAAACATAAGAGCCTGATAGGCACTTTTGATGGAACCAGTGTGAAATTGACGAGGAGGGAAAAAAATCTCTGTCAGTGGATTTTGGGAATTATAAGGAGAAGTTGCCCCACTGGCCTCTGAACACCAAGATCCTTAGGAAGGGGAGGGAGGAAGACTAAGCACCTTCAAGGGGTAGCGTAAGCATTTAAAATGATGCCCTAGTGAAGGCTTGGCAGGTTCTTGGCGCTGCTGACTGAAACGCCAAAAGTGGTAGATGAGAAATGGAAGGCCAGACATAGGACAAGTTGGGTGGGAGAGCATTTCAGTTGAATTGGAGAGACATTGAAGTCTGTGAGACTCGTCTTATCACCTGGGTGACAGTGCTGAGAAAAGTAATTTTTCTTTTGTGGCCTGTCCTTTCTTCTTTGTATTCAAATTTCAAGGGTCCCCTTCCTTCTGGCTGTTTGACATCTTTTGGTTAATTATTCTCTTGATATAAATCCCTTGAAATGATATAGCATCAAGACTAATAGTACTTTGCAACTAGTTTTTGTATTTTCTCACACTACTCATACGAAGAAAGGCAAAGGTTGGAAAAAGTGAAGCCTAAAAAAAATAAAGTGGACCAGATTAAACAGAAAATCAGTGTCTTGCACAGAGTTTGAACCTACTTTTCTTGATATCTGCTGCTATTGTTGTTTGGCACTGAGTCAACTCCAACTCCTGGTGACCTTACTATAATGAAGCGTTGCCTGATCTGTGCGAATGAAGCGTTGCCTGATCTGTGCGTCTTCATGGTCGTTGGCGTGTTTGGGTCCATTGTTGTGGCTGGTGTGTCAGTCTGCCTCTCAGAAGGGGTTATCTCGTTTTCTCCTGCCTTCTGCTTTACGTGATGACTTTTTCTAGTCTTGACATCTTGTTCCCTGCTTTTTCTACTACTTACCCATGAAAGGATAGGGCTTTTTTTTTTTTTGCCCCAAACATGTCAATGTTGAACTTAACTAAATCAAGGTAGCCTTTATTAGGGACTAGGGAAGAAAGATGAATAGCATATCTCACGGTATTTTCGATGTAAGCAGAATGGGCAGGTCTCCCTATCTCCATTGGACAGATGCAGAAACTAAGGCAGAGGGACCCAGTGCTTTGGCCTGAACAGTAGCGTAAGGCCATCGGGTCCCCATTTCGAATGTGCCTGTTTAGGCTGTCAGGGTAGACAGACGCAGGTCAAGTCCAGGTTCTGCCACTGTCTGGCTTTATGACCTCAGGCACCTCATTTCACTCTCTAAGCATTGGTGCCTTATCTGTAAATGGGGTCAGAAATACTTCATAGGATTATTTTGAATAGAAAATGAGAGAATATATGTAAAGTGCTGAGCTCGGTGTCTGGCACAGGATAAGCCTCAGAACACGATGGCTGTTATTGCTGGTGGTGGTATTGTTAGCAGTGATAATAGCAGTAGTGTACTTGCCAGTTATCACATTGCGTAGACCCCTGTTTTCTGCGAGATGATGTCAGGAAGACTTGGACAGCCTGGTAGGTCAATGAGTTATTTTTTGAGGAGAACATTTCTCCAGTCTAGAGGTCTTGGCATTGAGTGCTGTTTATCTTGACCACAGTTGGATACTGCCCTCGTTACACTTCAAATGAGCCTAAAAGGGCCCAGGCTCCGTCTGGTCAGAGTTGTGATCCTAAACTGTGGGCACCACCCAGGGCCTCTCAAAATCTGAGCCAGAGGTCAAGGTAGGCCTTTCTAAGGACTGCATTGTGCCCCCATGTGGTGAAGTAGGTCCCACTCTGTGTAGAATACAAGTCTGCAAGAACCTGTTCTTCCTTGGGAGATTAGGGAAGAAAGTTTAGTTCTTTGGGGAAGGTTCCCACCATCACATAGCACCTCCAACTCAGACCTTTTCTCTCTTATAAATACGTCTTTCTCAACTTCTCTCTAGTACGGTGTTTGAGGGCTCTGGATCTGTGCTCAGGGACTTGCAGATTTCTCTTTAAATTGTACAAGAAAGAAAAAGTTTCACATTAGGTTTTAGATTCTTTTTTCCTCTTCTTAATACAAAACCAAAATATAGGGTCCCACCAGGCTGACGTTCCCTTTAAATAACATTTTGTTTTCTCCTGGGGAAGCTGTCTTGATGGGTGAGGAGTCATTTCTAAAGTGAACCTAGTTTTTAGAAAAAATAGATCACCGGATGTCAAGCCTCCTGTGGAGCTCTCGGTTCAGATGAAAATGAAACCTGGCAGCTTCGGTGGTAGCTCGCCCTTGACTTCAGGCAGGAGGTGACAGGCAGAGTGTGTCTGGACTCTGGCTTAGTAACTAGTCGGTCCCCCAGACTGCATTTGATAAGTGGCCAGACTGCATTTGATAGGTGGCTTAGTCTTGACGGCAATAAGTTTGGTTTGGTTTAGTCATTTTCCAGGCAGCTTTGCTTAGGTGAGCAGAGCATTTTCCCTGGAAGGTGAGTCACCCATGCAGGGGTGTAGGTGACAGGCAGATTTAGTCCCTAGCACAGTTGCAGAGGAAGTTCTGAGCAGGCCA